GTTCTGGAGGCTGGGAGTCCAAGATCAGGACTGAATCCTTACTGATCCTTCTGAGTTTGGGGAAGAGTCTGGCCCACGCTTCTCTCCCTCCTCCTGGTGGCTCCCGCCTTCCTTGGTCTGCAGCTGCAGCATCTCCGGGCAGCCGTCCTCGGTCTTGCCCTCTCTGTGTATCTTCTGCCTTTTCATAAGGACGCCGTCCTGGAAGAGGAGGACCCAGCCGACTCGAGGATGACTCGCTCCATGGTTACCTAACTGGTAACAAATCAGAGACCCTGTTTCCAAACCGCGGCCTTCACAGGCACAGGGCGAGGGTTTCAACGTATCTTTTGGGGGACACAATTCAATCTCTAAGAGACAGCTAGGTAGACGATAGCTAGCTAGAGGATAAATAGATGATAGATGGATAGATACAAGATAGATGATTGGTAGAAGATAGATAGATAGATAGATAGATAGATAGATAGATAGATAGATAGATGATAGGACAAGACAGACAGGAACCTGGTAGCACTGGCTGCTTCTGTGAAGGGGAACCAGGTGACTGAAGTAGGAGGGAAATATGTCTGTGTTTCCTCTGTATCATGTGAACCTGTTAACAACTCAATAACCAGATAAGAAGCACAGTTAGGGTTGTGTACAGAGGAAGACACATCAGAACCGAGAAGACATGTCCTTGTTTTGCAAACCAGGCAGCTGAAGCCCAGAGATGTAAGCGGTCTTGTTCGAGGCCCCCTGAGCAGAGCAGGGCAGAGGGAGGGCTGGCGGTCACCGGGATTGTAGGCCTGTGCCCGTTCGTGTCACTGAGCATCTGCTCTGGGCCAGGCTCCCCAAGTGCTGAAGATCCCGTGACCCCTGCCCTCACAGAGCTTGCATTCTGGACAATGAACCCAAATGTGTGTTACGCTATCGGGCAGTGAACCCGAAAGAAAGGGGCGAGGAGACAGAGACAGCAGAGCGGGCAGCCGGTCGGGGAGCCTCTGCAGTCGTCACAGGAGAGAAGTTAAAGACGGAGAACGGCAGGGGCAACAGGCCGGTGGCAGCAAGAGGGAGGACATGTTTGAAAACAGCGAGGAGACCATGTGGCCGGAAGGAGTGGACAAAGGAAAGATGGCTGCAGATGAGTTGGCGAGACCGGCAGGAGAGGTGTAGATGGAGAAAGAGGAGCTGCAGGACGCTGGTGCCGTAGTCCAGCGAGAGGTGACAGGGCTCCCGGTCTGTACCGTGAGGGATGGAACCAGGTGACCCCCCCATGGCCTATCCAGCTCTGCCATGTGGTGACTTGGTGAGTCATCTCAGCACCCACTAAGCCTGGCCCTGCCCCCTTTTCCCTGCTCCCTGCAATCTCTAGGTTTTTCCTCTTGGATTCTGGGTCTGCACGGAGCCCGTGGTCTGAGGCTTAGAGCGGGGACTGCTGCTCACCCTGTAGCTGTCAGCTCCACTCCTGTCCCCATCTCCCGGGGACAGATGGGTGGGCAGTAGGAGGCAGCTGGATCTCGCTGCTGGCAGGGCCCCAGGAGAGGGAATTATCTGAGCGTTCATGACCCCTCTCTGCCGTCCAGCTTGTGAGTTAAAAGCCTCAAATGTCACAATTTCTTCATTACAAACTCAAATCTGAACAGGTAACAATGTTCAGTTGTCAGTAGGAGCTCTGGTCGTGTAGTGGCTCTGCGTTGGACTGGCAACTTTGAGGTCGGCAGTTCGAGACTACCAGCTGCTCTTCGGGAGACAGCCAGGGCTTTCCACTCGAATAATGGAGACCCAAAGGAGCAGGCCTACCTTGTCCTGCAGACTCACTGTGAGTCGGCATTGACTCGACAGCGATCTCTCTCTCTCTCTCTACAATCCCAAAGTCCAGTTGGTATCAGCACTCTGGATCCTCCTGTCTCCTGCAGGGTCCTGCCCACTTCACACCCCCCCCACCCCTTGCTTTGGCCATGCCTCGTCCTCACAGGTCCATTCTGGTCCTTGTGCTTGGGAGTGTCCTTTCCCATCCTCATCATTCCAGGTGTGCCTCTGGTGCCTGTGCCCCGCCACTGGACGCGTGCGCTCTGTGGCTCTCCAGCTTCAGCAACGCATCTGAACCTCCAGGGGACTTTGTTCAAACACACCTTGCTGTGACCTACCCTCAGAGCTTCTGAATCCAGCCGCATGGGGCAGGGCTGGATACTTTGCCTTTCCACCTTGGTCCAGGTGTTTTGGATGTCTGGAAACACACGTTGAGAACCACAGTATGTCAAAGGGCCACCCAGCAGCCCCTTGAGCTGGGTACCATTATTATCATCTCTGCAGAGAAACCTAACTACTGCTGGCTTGAAGGGGCTGGTGTGTCTCGTCCTGGCTCTTTGACACCAGGAAGAGACATCTCCATTTATTCCAGGGTGAGATTGCAGCCTTCCTTTCACAGAGGTCTGCGCGGTACTCAGAGAGGGGAAGCGACTTGTCCAAGGCCTCGAAGTGATTTGGAAGAGATGCTGAGATTGAGCTGTGTCTCACTGAAGCCAAAGTTTCCCGCACCCCTCAGGTGGAGGAGATGCCCGTTTTGAACCGGGGCAGTTGACCGGAAGTTCTGCTCTCAGCTGCACAGCTCAGCAACCTGCTGACATGTGTGGCTGACTCGGTCTTCACTTCCTGGCCGGGATCCAGCGACCGCCTTGGGGCCACATGGCCCCAGACTCCCACTTGGGTCTGCAGCCCACAGCTTGCTCGGATCTGCAGCCCATTAAAGGCTGGGCAGCAGGCAGCCAGACACAGCGCTCTTGACGGCTGTGTTCTTCCCAGCGGTCTCCCCTGGACCCCTGTTACCATGTCACAGCTGCTTCTGTTCATTGTGGCTCTCCTGGTCCTGGGTCATGTGCCCCCAGGTAACATCACCTGTGTGAATGCGTGTCTGTACGAGGGGCTTTGAGAACTTCTCGGGGAAATCCCAGTGAACTTGTCCTTGTAGTCCCTTCCTGGAAGTGAGGAGTAGGTTCCTAGATTCTGGAGGATGGAGGGCCCCAGACCAGTGTTTCGGCTCTGGCCCCCTGTGCCAGGGGACTAGCTAGGATCAAGTGGCTTAGCCAGCGAGAGACTCTCTTTCCTCATCTGTATCGTGGGAGTCACTCAGCACATAATCCGTCTGACAAATATTCACTGTGTGTTAGGTCCTGTTGGGCCATTTCTGGGGCTCCGTCCATGGAGGAAAACACAGTCCTCTCGTGGAACTGACATTTTGGATGATGGAGACAAAAAACAATAGTTAGATAAATATATATGTAAGGTGGGAATGTATGAGCCCGGATGGGGTAGTTAGGCTTTGCACGGAACTGCTAACCACAAGGTCAGCAGTTCAAACCCAAAGATTCTACTGTCTGCTCTTGTAAAGGGTCAAAGCCTTGGAGACCCACAGGAGCAGTTCTACTCTGTCCTGCAGCGTCACCGTGAGTCCAAATCGACTCGACAGTGAGGTTAGTGATTTTTTGAAAAGCAGTTTTGTTGGCACTTCATCCACATACCGCACACTTCAATAGTTCAAGCTTATCAAGAAGAGTTGTATAATTAGTACCACAATCAATCTTAGAACATTTTCTTTTTCCTTGTACTCATTTTTATTAGGGTAATTTTTAAAAGTGAGTTTTAATGCAGTGGAAGGGGCTAAGAGGAGAAAAAGCAGGCAAGGGGCTAGAGTAGTGTGTGTGTGTGTGTGTGTGTGTGTGTGTATTGATGGCCATGCTGATGTGTGTGGTTAAAATGGAAATTTTTCAAAAAATGGAGACTAATGTGTAGAGTCAAGTTTTAAGGGAGATTTTGGAGGAGATCTCAAACATAGAGAGAAAGCAGAGTGTGCAGAAATGTTCAACTTCAACAATGGCCAACGTGAATCAATCCTGGTCATTATTCATGACCATCCCCTGCCCCTCCAGTGAATCACTTTGAAGTAAGTCCCCAAAGTCTTAGCATCTTCAACAAGGTGAGTTGGAGCAGAGATCAGGCTACAGTGAGAATATTCAACGGGAAATTGTTCCAGGCACGGGGAGAAGCCAGGGAGTTGCTGGACATGTTTGAGAAGCAGCAGGGCCCAGTGTGCCTGCACTGGGCAGCCCGGGAGGACAGGGTGGGAGATGAGCTCAGAGACAGGAGGGCGAAGGGTGGGCAGACCACACAGGAGAAAATCACAGTATCCTGAGGTTTGTGGGAAGCTCAAATGTGACACTGTTTTAAGAGGAGCTACCATATGATTCCAAACAAACAGACCATCGAGGGAACACTTCCGTCGTTCTAAGAGGCCAGCATTACCCCAATGCTGAAACCACAGAAGGGCAAGCGAAAGGAGGAAAATTACAGACCAGTATCCCTCACGGATGGAAGTGGTAGGGCCGGAGTGCTCCTTAGAGGCAAGGATGGCAAGACTTGGTCTTACCTACTTTGGGTGTACTGTCAGGAGGGACTAGTCCCTGGGGTCCTCGATGAGATAGGTGGGCACGGTGGCTGCAGCAATGGGCTCAGGCACGGGAACAACCGTGAGCATGGCACAGCACCGGGCGGGGTTTCCTTCTGCTGTGCAGGGGTTGGTACGAGTCGCAGCCTACGCCGGGTCACCTCCCGGCAACCATAGTCTGAGCTCAGATGCATGTTGTCCACCATCGCAGGTAAGGAGTCTGTCTCAGAGAGCTTTCCACATCAGAACGCTGGCATCCTGAACTTCTCTCCCGTGGCAGGTTGAGCTTGTCGATGGGATCGAACCTGTGGACAGGTCTAAGGCATTTATTTGGACGCTGTAGGATCCTTTTTCATCCAGAGAGGGGTGGGGACGTCTTTCCCCCAGCTCTCCCACACAGTTCTAGTTCTGCAAGTTTGGGGGCTTCTTTTTGGAAATACTGTAATAGGCACCCCTGTCTAAGTGGTACGAGTCCCCCTCTCTTCCCCACTCCCTGCTCAAACTGACCACCACAGCACTCTGTTCATTTCTTTCCACAAATGCTACTTATTTTGTTAATTGTTTTTCTTTAAAAGACATGATTTCTTTTCCCCTCAATGTACAGATTGGAGCAACAGACAACCCCCCACCCCCACCCCATCACCATTCAGAAGGCTTTTCATTCATTGCTGGGATCTTCCTAGCAAAGTGAACGAATCCCAAGCACATGCATAGACGGGCTTGGGGCTCTTCATCTTTGGCACATTTGTCAAGGTGGAGACTCTTCAAAGGCAATTAAAATTTGCAATAGCTTTTTCTGCACATCCTCTTCATCACCCTTACACCAAGCATTTGCTTGGCTTGCAATGGCCTTCCTGGGAAGCCGTGGGTTATGACGGTCTTGACTATTGAGTCTTGCATGGATAAGCTAGTGTCCTGTGTTTGTTGAATGAAGAAGCAAAAGAGTGGCCCAGATCCATGTTGTGACTAGAGACCCCTAGAAAGAGCGCAGGGCTCGATTCCCAAACACTGGTCTGTTCCAGGGCTCGTGGTTAGACCTTCCTCTATCAAACCCTCACTTTAAACAGGCATGGGTATGCCAGGCACTTAGGGGAGCAGTTACCATTGAAAACTCAGGAGCCAGATTGCCCACCTTTGAATTCGAAGTCTGCTCCTTCGGGGTGGTGACCTTGGGCAAGGTCATTAACCTCCTTGTATCTCAGTTTCCTTACCTGTCAAGCAGGGATTGTAATAAGACCAGTTCTAACGATAACGTGTTGTTATAGAAAGCACTTAGCATGTCCCTGGTGTGTGTGGGACGAGACCTTTACCTCTCATTTATGGCTTGTGGTCTTCTTCTGCTTAGGGAGAAGTGAATTCAAACGGTGCTGGAAGGGCCAAGGGGCCTGCCGCAATTACTGTAGCCGGCTAGAATCGTACATGCACCTGTGCCCCGATGCCTCTCTCTGCTGTCTTCCCTACGTACTCAAGCCTCCACCGGCCCCCAAGGGTGACTATACTTCCTAGCTCGTCCCGGGGCTGCCCCTTTGCTCGCCAATAAAATGTATGCCGCCTGCTTGTCTCCTTTTGCCCTTCCCCTGTCCCTGGAGGGGGTGGACCCTGGGTCAGGAAGTGGACACACAGGTAGGTGGTGGATAGGTGAGTTGCTTGGGTAGAGTGGGCACAAATGACTATACTAAATGATTTCAGTCCTGGTTATATCAGTTTCTTCTGTCCAGTGTGGAGAAATACAATAAAGAAAGGCAGAGTTAATGAGAGGCCCCTGCCATTCAGAATGAGATGGTGCAGCATGGCATTTGACCTGAAAGGCTCGTGCAAATGAAAAGAATCTATGTTTCCTTATCTCCTGTTTTAGTGTTTCAGGAGTCTGCCTAGGTGGATAGGACCAGAGGGTCAGAGGAAAACAACATTTTCATATAAATAAAGAGGGAGCTAGAGAAAAAGTCTGCTTCATCCAGGCCCAAGGCCTTGTGGGGCAAGAAGGCAGAGAGGAGAGGAGGGAGGTGGTCGATGACCCAGCACTGCAGTGAGCCGAGAAGCATAGGAAGCTGGACTTGCCGGGCACTATCTGGACGTCGGCGGCACAGGCATCTCTGGGATGCTTCTGGCCTTTCCCTCAGGGTCACACATATACTTACGTACAGCTACCAAAACATCAGGGCACACATCCTTCTTTAAAGCCTTTTCTAGTAGGCTTAAGTTTGGGGGGTAGGGGAGGGCCCTCCTTATCTGCCCATCTCCTCCCTGAGATCGACCGCCCTCTCCCCAAAGGGGTGGTATGTTGGATCAGCTCAGAGGACTGCCCAGGATGGAAGGGCTCTTGCCTTTGAGACTTCCAGGGAGATTACTTTTCGTGTTGGACGTGGTCCCAGCCAGGTCCGAGAGGTGGACCATCAGGGCCTGGGGCCTTCACAGCATGGCACCTAAGAATGGGTGCTGATGAGGTTGCTGGAGTAGAGTCCTGGAACTACGTGATGGGCAGGCGTTAATCGCCTGTTTCTGGCATGAGACCGACCTGGGGGTGGCCCAGAAGCACTTGGGGTGGCTGAAGGGGCTCGGGCAGCAATTATTTGCCAACCAGGGTAGAAATCATTATTTTAATAGCAAAAGGTACCCCTTGAATATCAGTCATGCTTCTGGACCTCCTCAGTTCCTATATCTGGTCTGGACGTTGAGCTGAGAGTCTGTGAACCCATTTCAGGGTCTATTGTGGTGGCATGGTCAGCAGTTAGGAAGCACCAGCAGCCCCTCAGGAGAAAGATGGGGCATTCTACTCCTGCCAAGAGGTACAGTCTCAGAAACCTTCAGGGGGGGGGTGTCACTCTGGGTCAGCATGGACTCCCCGGCACTGTTTGGAGTTTGGTGGTGGGGTTGAGGGGTGCCTAGAAGCAGGACAAGTAAGAACTCCAGAAAGGTCAACAGAGCCACGGAGACCTGACTGAGGGCTTCAACTTGATAGCACCACTGGACCTCAGTGAGTCAAGAGAGAGATTTAAGTTCTCCATCAGCAATTGGCCGTAGCCCAGAAGCCAACCTATGCCTCCAGTGGCAGGCTTAAGCCACTCAGGCCTGGCACCAGATTCCCAAATGCCCCAGGCTTCCCCCAGTCCCCATGCTCAGAGGTGCAGGAGGAGGAAAGGAGGAGTCTTGAGCGACGGAGGAATTATACCAGAGATTGTGTCCATCCAAACTCCAGGAAGCTCAAGAGATTCCCTGATGTGTTGAATTGGGCCACATTTTAAACTGGTGGAACTAAATTTAGCTCTGCACAGCGATGCCCTTTCAGTTATTCTAGAAGGGACTTTCTTGGCACAGTCTGAGATAGAGTGTGTAAGTAAGTCTGTGGCCCTGAAGCAGTGAAGAAGGTGATGATTCTGGGCACTGGGGAGGTCAGATACACTCAAGGTCACACCCCAACTCTCAAAGTCCAGCCAATGCACTTCTCAGCAGTTTGGGGAAGGGAGAAATTGTTGGCGTCTCCATTCAGGCCATAGAAGAGATTCCCGGTCAGGCTGGGAAGCGAGGCATGGTCCCGTGTCACCCAGCAAGATAGGCACTGAACTTCCAGGAATGCTGTATTACCTGCGCTGACATTCTTATTTGCCTCATCTGTGGTTATGTTTGTCATTTCAAGAGTCCTTACAAGACTGAATATTACTGTGTTCAACAAATATTACAATGTCTCATATTCATTAGGTTATGGGAAGCCTTTAAACCAAGGGGACCTGTGGGTCCTACTTTCATTAGAGAATGGAGCTTAATGTAACTTCCTGTGCTTCACACCAAGTTTACCTCATTGAGCTTGTTATCTTATCAAGGCCCTGTTACCTGAGCCAAGTCACTTGCTTGCCTGGCCCTGGAATTTCACCTCTGCAACAACGGGAATGAGAATAGTTCTTCATGGGGGAGCTGCGGGGTCAATTGAGATCAGCTGGCACTTGTAGGAGTTTTGTCAACCAAAGCTGTTAAAAT